GGCCTTGGCACATTAGGGTTTTAACTTTGATCCCTCAAGTATAAATAGGCTCATATGCCCATCATTGTAACTTGCTAGATTTCTGTGCGAGCTGAAAGTGAGATATAATTTTGAATGCTTATAATTGTTCCATAAAGTTAATAAAGTCATTGCTCTCTCTCTCACACACGCACACACATACACACACATTCATTTGTAGACGTTAGTCACCTTGACCGAACCTTGTTAAATATTATGTCCTTTTGATTTATGTTTTTCAGATGTTTCTCGTGAGTTCATAGAAGTTTATTTTTTGATATTTGTCTAAAGTGCCCAACTTGTTTTGTTGTAACTCAACAAATTGGTATCAGAGCTATGGTTGAAGATAGGAAAGCTAAGATCAATAAGTTCAATGGAAAATATTTTGGTTTTTGGAAGATGCAAATTGATGACTATATCTACCAAAAGAATTTACATGAACCGTTGTCAGAATATAAGTCATTCCTTATGAAGCAGGAGGAGTAGGAGTTATTAGATCGACGGACACTTGGTGTTGTGCATTTATCATCGGCAAAGAACGTTTCTTACAACATTGTTAATGAGAAGACAACTTATGGATTGATTAAAGCGCTATCTAACATGCATGAGAAACCTTTAGCGGTGAATAAGGTTCACTTGATTCGACAATTGGTAAATCTTAATCTGAAGAAAGGTTGTAGAGCATGTCAATGAATTTAATTCAATCTTGTCAAGTTTCACAACGGTTGAGATTAAACATGATGATGAAGTCCAAGCACAACTACTATTATCATCATTAAACATCAGGAATTAATATCCAAAGCCTCTTGCAGATAAAGGCAAGAATGTGATTAACATTGCATTAGACTCTAAAGGACATGCTATTATCTATGTAGTCGAAAACTCAGTTGAATCATGGATCATGGATTCTGGTGCGTCATTCCATATCAGTCATTCCAAAGACCTGATGTAGAATTTCAGTCAGTACCAAGGGAAGGTCAGACTGGCAGGCAACAAGAGCCTTAATATTACAGGTTTTGGGCATGTGGTCATCAAGACTACTATAATGAGTGGTAATCCTTAACTATACCTATTATAGTTAAATAGAGTTGTTTAGTTGAATGCCTTTGATACGTAAAGATATTGCACTGTAGGGAAGGCTTTTATATCTAACACAAAAATATATGATATATAACTAAGAATTCAACGACAGTTGGACAGATAACCTAATACCCTAAGTCCACAATCAAACAAGAACAGGAAATAAGGTCAGTTATCAGTTCTAAGTCCTTCAATCCTTACTTATATAAATATATTGGTGTAGATATGATTTGGAAAATAAAATAAGTTTTGAAAATTTCGAAAAGTAGTTTTTAGGAAAATTGAACATGAAATTGAGTTTGATAAATATTTGAAACAACTTTACTGGCAAGGTAAACTGAAAATGTATAAAATTCTTTTGACAACAAGTTATAAATCACATATGATTAGTACTATAACTTGCTTGATTCAACTTGTATTCCAAAAAAAGCATTTAAAAGCGTTTGAAAGGTTAATTTAGGGGTATGAACTCACTATTTAACATATGGTCCGAGTGTGCGATTCATATGAGCGTTCAGTGTCAACGGATGCTCTGAATGCAAGTTGTCCGTATTAATCATATGATGACACGTATATGAGTTAGAGCTAGGATGTTTCATGACTAAACATGATGGGGAAACACCCTAAGGGCTTGAAATCATCAAGACTAAGTGTCTTGTGTCCCATACTTAATGATCTGTGCAAGTTTAAGGCCAAATATGAGTATTAGAGTGGGTGTATTGCCATAAAAGTGAGTGTGCGGCTAGGGAATGCGGCCAGACTTATGTGTGAGGCTGCACACTGGAGTGTGCGGCCGTACAGGGGGTGTGTGCGGCCGTACACTCCTTGTTTGAGTCCCATGTGTCGATTTTGAGGGGTTTCAAGTGTCAAACTAAGTCTTAGATCGATTATAGAGGCTATATCGTCACTTTGGAGGATGTTTTGAGTGTGTGCGGCCACCCTATGAAGGTGTGCGGCCGCACTCCTTCAAGGGGTGAAGAACGCGAAGAACACTATGAGTTTTAGGCTTGCATTCATGTGTTTTACCTTTATAACAAGCTGAAAGATGAAGTTCTTCACGTTTGGAGGCCTTCTAAGTGTTCTTGGATGATGTTTCTAGAGAGAGAAAGTAGAGAGAAAGAGGAGGTGCAGCTAAAAGTGAATCGAAGAGGGTCCTATATTATATATAGGGTCGGGTGTGAGGCTGGAGGGGATGTGCGGTTGGGTGTGCAGCTGGCTGGCCGCACACTCTAGTGTGCGGTTGCACACACCTCTTATGTAGTGATTGGCTGGATTTTGTGATGCAATACCCTTCCTAAGGCCCATATCTATGATATAATAAGCCTAAAGCACTCGTACGGACCCAACATTATGCTAAAAGATGCTAAATTCAAGTGAATGATAGATATATGGATCGATTGCACAGTGTAAAAGTGTCGGGTTGTCACACAGGTGGACGAAATACACCTGGTGAACACGTAGTTCAAAAACGCCTACAGGTTGCGAGCCTGCCAATGCTCCACTAGACTGTCTAGAATAGTCTGTGGTCCTCATCTATACTCCTCTAGATGACAGAATCAGCTTAAACATTGATGCTTCTCATCAATTATTTCATCATTTATATCATCTACCCATCTCTATCCATCATAGTTATAGGTTTAAAATACATATACAGTTTAAATCTAAAAAACATGTATGTTTTGTTCATCCAGTATAGATATCAAGAACACAAATAATATGCACACATAGCACTTAACTAATATTAAATACTTTATATCTATGTGTAAGATGAAAGTAACAAACACTCACTTGTTAAAGTAACTATTCACAATTTGGGCAACGCTTCGCTTCTAACAATTTTCTTTTCCTTCAACCATACCTAGATATTAAAAATAACTACCAATTAATCCAACGTATCCTTTTCAACACAACAGTAAATATTATACAGCACAACACAACTAAATATTAACCCCAAACTACAAAAATGCATTAATTAACTATATATAAATTTTAATTTACATATGTACCATACATGCCTTCATCACATTGATAAGGTCGGCCCCGTTGAAATGTAGATCATTCGAACCAAATAAATTGCCTCAATATGATCTTCATCTTCTGTTTATTTCAACAAAGTCAATCCTAAATCAAAATTTCCATAATAAAAGCACCCATCCTGTTGACAGAATAACAATATCAATATATAACATCAATGGCATTAAATATTAATAAATTGTATAGGTTACATATAATTACTGAAATTACACATACAATTCCTTGTCTGAACATGGATTCAATGTTATTATGTAATGCACATGTGCATATACTTAAATCAGCTTTCATTTTTTTGGGGTCCATTCCATCAAACATGTCAATTTATGCTGTTCTGAACACTTGAGGATCACCCCCCGCTTTATACATCTTATTTGAACTTCAAAAATTTAAATACAAAGTAAATAACAAATAAATAAAGTTGTATTTCATCAAATGTACATTCATTAGTTGATGTTTACTGAGAACTACCAAAGTCTTGCAGAGACGATGTCTTTCGCATATTCTTCCCCTAATACTACCAATATCCGACTCAAAATCTCTAATGGGAGATCATCTAACGAACAACAACTTCTAGTATTCGACATTTTACTTAAAAAATTCACATTGGAGTAGTCGATTTCATTTTTTTTAAATAAGCGTAACTATGAAAGACAGTGTAACAGGGTATGAGTCTCTATTCTCGGAAAAAATCAATTTTAAGAACGATTATCCTTCGACGATTTGGGGGATTAGTGTTTTTATGCAGATTTTTTGTCTGAAAAAGTTTAGATGTTATGAATGGTTGAAGAACTGAAACGCCGGTGAAACGTCAAAGGTATGATGGCCCTTAACGATTTAGAGTGCAAAACACCAAATTGCACTTGAAATCATTCCAAGTATGTGAATAATAAGGTTATTTGTGTCAAAACACAATATTCAAATATTATAATCTTTTATAGGGAACAGTGGACTTTTGATTGTTGAAATGAAAAAGACAAAAATAACACACACACACACACACACACACATATATATATATATATATATATATATATATATATATATATATATATATATATATATATATATATATCATAATCCATAATGTAATACATTTATATTAACATTTCACCAAATTACTAGTATAACATTTAAGTATGGATTTTATACCAAATTACAAATTAATACATATTAGCATTTAATCAAATAACAAGTATGTATTCATGTATTGATATTAAACCAAATTGGTAAGAAATGGTTCAAATGATATGTTTTTGAGTTGGTAATATATTGAATATACAAAACACATTACTCAAACATCATTCCAAATATGTGATATATATATATATATATATATATATATATATATATATATATATATATATATATATATAAACATTATTCAAACATCATTCCAAGTATGTGATATATACATATTATAACTTGACCAAGTTAGGAGTAGCAAACTTTTGTTGACTTTCATTTTGCCATACGACTTTCCAAACTTTTACTCTTTTAGTCCCTTATTAACAACACAACATATTTACTAATCAAGTAACAACATCAAGTAATTACTTATCAAGTAAATTACTATATATTCGTATATTAAACCAAATGAATGTACATAGCATCAATTGTAATAATATGAAAGTACATAACAACAAACTACTCGTAACTTATACCAAACTCCCTAGAAAACGTAACGAAAAAAGCATCCCACAAACAAATTTCACACCTAAACACCCATTTGTATCCTTTCACAACAGAGTCTAACACACTAAGCACAGACTTAAGCATTGCACAATTTCAATGGAAGCCATGGAAGTGTACATGTTTCTTCCCTCCTTATTGAAATGGAGATGAACCTTAGAAAAATTTTCTCTAAGATTTCACTTACCTTTTGCTATGCGGTAAGTATTGTTCCACATGTCCAAAGCTTCCTGCTTCCTATATCTCCCTTCAGCCATCAACATCATTCCCAGTACAAATATTGAATCTAAATGTCCCAATTTAGATGCTTCTTCAAGCATCGTTTTCCCTTCATGATCAGCTTCTAAGAAAGTAGCTTCGTCTAAAAAAACATTAAACACATAATTTCTAGTTAAATTAATGTAAAACTAGAAACAAATTAATAAGTACTATCCATACATATAAAAATGTACAAATACAATCCTGAACAGAATATTCACGTTTCTCATCTGTATGCATTTGTTGACAACTGTATGTTTCTGGTCAGACCAACCACGAAATCATAATCCATCTAACTCCATATGTTTATATACTTCATCCATTTTTCCTGCCTCATTGAAGAATTTTAAACTACAAACGAAACACAATATTTACTCCAAAATCTAATGACAACTCAAATACACTTGTTAAATAGAATGATCGAAGACAAAACTTACACACTCTTCATCATGAAAGCCTCGACTTTTGAAAATTTCCGAAGTCAATTATTAACATTCTCCATCACTTCCAATGGCATGCCTGTTAGCTATTTTCATTAATTTCTTGATTGCTTCTTCGAAGAAGTACTGACTTCAATAATAATAAAGCTTCACTAATATAACGATTCTGCGAAAACGATTTTAGGGTTTTTTTAACTGTCAATATTTTGAAATTGAAGTTGTTTGCAAGTGACTGAAATAAGACTGAAGAACTGAAACAATGTGTTTCGTCGGAAAACATTATGGCGCCTACAAGATGTTCCATTATAAAATGACCAAATTGTCCTCATACATACAATGACTCGTATATAATTAGTAAGGGGTAGGTTTGTCAAAAATCATAAATAAAAGGAAATTCAGTTTATATTTTAATACACAACCGTCACAAATGATACATGCCTTTTTAATCTGGCAACTATCACATTTTACCATCACAACAATGACCCATATATCATCCTTGGGTGTTATCATGACACCATAAGTAGATACCATGTTGACCAATGACCCATATGTCATCCATGGGTGTTATCATAACAACATAAGGTACTACCATGTTTACCAATGACCCATATGTAATCCATGGGTGTTACCATGACACCATACTCGACTCCCATGTTGACCATGACACCATATGTCATCCATGGGTGTTACCATGACATCATACTCGACTACTATGTTGACCAATGGCCCATATATCATCCATGGATGTTACCATGACACCATACTCAACTCCCATGTTAACCAATGACCCATATGTCATCTATAGGTGTTACCATGACACCATAAGCAACTACCATGTTGACCACTGACCCATATGTCATCCTTGGGTGTTACCATGACACCATAAGCAACTACCATGTTGACCAATGACACATATGTTATCCATGGGTGTTACCATGACACCATACTCGACTACCATGTTGACTAATGACCCATATGTCATCCATGGGTATTACCATGACACCATACTCGACTACCATGTTGACCAATGACCTATATGTCATCCATGTGTGTTACCATGACACCATACTCGACTCCCATTTTGACCAATGACCCATATGTCATCCATAGGTGTTCCCATTACACCATACTCGACTACCATGTTGAACTATGACCCATATTGATGGGTTTTGGTCATAAGACATCCTATGTGTTCATACAAACCCTAATGCTTGGATCTAGGTTTCTCTATTGTACATGCTTTGAATCCAAGACTATAAACCCTAATTCTAGCATTCAAGTAATCATATTAACATGAGAATAATTTTATGATGTTACCTTGATTGTTATATAGCAATAACAATCCTAATTCCACTTTGAATTGACTTTGGAATGCTTAGAGTCACAAGTGTCACTCCTCTAATGGCTTACAAACACCAAGAGCAAATGGAGAAGGTATAAAGAGAGAGGAAAGAGGTTAGAATTCGTCCTTAGGACCTCTTGGGAACAAGTACACGAATTCTAAGGCCTTAGGGTCTCTCTATAGGTGTAGAGATAGGGTTTCAGTCATTATCCTTATCTAGTTGCTTATCCACAAAGCAACCCATAAGATAAGTCTTAGAAATCCCTTATCCTTTATCCTTTGGATGATTTCAAGGATCCTTATCTCCTTGAATTCGTTCAACCCATATTTAGGATAACCATTACCATATTATGTAACTATCACATAATTACAATTCAGCCCCTCTAGTTTAATTAATTACACTTGATCACAAAATTAATTCCTAATTAATTATTGACCAATATTAATTAAGCAAATATGATTTCTCCTTTAATATATTATTCTTATAACATATTAATAAATCATAATAACCTCTCTCTCTTTATTTATTTCTCCAATCAAGTTGCTTTGGTGAAGGCAACCCAAAAGGACCATGCACCATCGGGTCAAGTACATACCAAAATAGTTATGGACTTAGACACTAATCCAACAGTCTCCCACTTGGATAAGTCTAATAACTATTTGCGTATGACTTCAGATCCTGATCTGCAATCGTAGCTTTCCAAAGCCGCTGTCAACTCTGATCGTATCAGATACGCGTGTCCTTAGATAAGGGATCATATATTCCTCCATTCTAGATATCGTATGAGATATGATTTCTAATCATTCTCTTTGTACTATTTCTCGATTTCTGATTTATGACGATAGACTAATTGAACAAATCAAATTAGCCCTAGCCCGGCCGAGCATTTACGTTTGTCATCACTAAACCATCGAGGGGCCCAAAGATATCGCTTTTATCCTACTTGGATAAAAGGAACGGATAAACTTTGATACAATGCTTGCTTGCACTCACTAACCAAATCACACACAACAATATGTTTTATAACACCAAGTTACTAGTGCGTTTACATATTATCAATGTGCAACCGATTAGCAAGATACAACTCACACATCTCGGTTTCAAGAATATAAGATGTTATCGTCTCACCAATCACTCGTGATACAATTCATGGAGTGATCCAAGTGAGCGTGGGTTTAATCCAATGCTCAAATTCATATTCATAAGCACTCATGAACGTTGCAGCAAACATTTGCTTATGTCTAATACTCTTTTAGACAATCCACACACCAATTCACGACAGTCTTCATTCATATCTACTTCCAACATATGAACGACTGTGGCCCGTTCGAATAATTGATTATTCTTAATAAACTCAATTATTCTGGAAGTCAAAACATGCAAAGTGAAACACAAGAATAATACTAATCCCATATGGCCTCAAACCTTTGAGTATAAATAAAACGCCTTTTATTTATCACCATATCGATTACTCATTATTTGTCGTTTCGGGTAATCAACTTCTTACTTGAATTATTACACTTGTCCCATGCTCCTAGCATGCACACAATGTTTACCTATGGTTCTTACTTTGTGAAATAGACAAATTGAACACATTTCCAATCATTCTCATTTACAACTCCAAATCCTTTTTCATAAGTGTAAGAATATCAAATTCTTGCTACTTATAGAATATGCTAGATTCTAAACTTTATGCAATGATCCTTTCGTAATGTCACTGCACCAAAGTCACAAAGACTATTGCCAATGATATTACAAAGTCCTCTATCGGAGATTGTTACAAGACAATTCCTTAGATATGATGTCTCTCACTCAAAGTACATTCCTTTGAACATCCTTTTGCATAAAAGTTTCTAATCTAGACATAGATTTTCAATATTCAATTCCCAATATGGACACGCTTCCATATTTTCCATATGACAACTCATTCTTAATAGAATCTTATCTATTTGTAATGATGTCGATATGGTCCATCCAATATGGAAACATTTCCATATTTCCAATACTATACTTCCAACTACTCACAAGCGACCAATCCTCGTCGAACTTTGGATTGTCCTTTGATAGTTGTTTAATTATTTTAGTCAAAACCAATTCTAGTCCCTTTTCCCTCTAAATGCGCTAGACATTTGGAAAATTTTAGAATGGTCAAACATTAAAGCATTTGCAATCGATCCTATACCCGAAGCGTATGGGACACGATGCATAATGTTTTATTTGCTATGTTCTCAAAATTCGAATTGTGAAGAGGAATGCGTAATCATAATCGAAATTTTAAGAACACACTATGTACCTTTGACTAAATTTATTAACATTTCTCAACCTAATCCTTTAGATTTGAAATGAAGCATAATATTCTCTCCCTTAATTATAGCAAAACAACTTTACAACCCTTACGACTTTGCAAGGTATAACTCTTGTTTTTCTATAATTAATATTGCCAACTTGCAAACTTTCCATAATAATCATACAATCATAACTTTTATGCTCCCACTATCATGATGATTACTATAAAACATAACACTTATGCTCCCACTAGCTTCGACATGTATTCATAAACATCTTAACTTTCAGAAAGACAATACCTATTGAATTTCTTAAGTCCATGTTTCTAATACTTAGTGCTTTGATAATCTTTTATCAAGGCTTCTTGAACTTATACACCTTTGCCTTAGATAGTTCATATGTGTGTCTTAACAATTAAGACTAATTGCCAAACCTCACAATTCAAATTATGGAAAGGGATACCGTAACCATGATCGAATTCGAGAATGCAATTTTACAATCACTATCTTTTAAAATCTTTCTTAGTGAAAGCATTTCCTCACAATCATTTTCATGAAGGAGGAAATCTTATGACACTTAGATTTAAATGGTGTATTTGTTCCTATCCATGTGAATTTGTTAAAACCAAAGTTTACGACAAATTCAAACTCATATGGACCGAACTTTCTTAATCTTGATTTCTTGCCTTATGGTAGCACAGCTGCCCACCACGTCTTCCAAGTAGTTAAGCATCTCACCTTTTTCCTATCAATGTACCTTTCATTGATCAAGGTGCCTTGCCTTTTATGCGTTCAAAATGAGAACTCATAGACTCACATGCATAATTAACTCAATTGAATGCATAGAAACAAAATATCAACACGATAGGTTGTAAACCTCAACTCGTGTGCTAGTGATGATCGATAAGGTTTATTTGATTTGTTCTTGAAACCTTTCAAGACCATTAAGACTCCCACTGACTCCTTGACATATAAGATTCTTTGTCAATAAACATTTCTTGACAAACAAATATTCAAGAGTTAGTGTAGCTTTATCAAAACACTTCATAAATTGGTCCTAGTTGGTCTTTGTCTTATCCAAGACATCACAACTTTCCACATTTATGAATGTTATAAACCTTTAATACTTTTCACTCATTGTCACAATCTTAACTTTAAGACTTGTTATTGGAACGAAGTATGATAGACTTCTTGATTTCCATTTCTTCAATTCTTGATTCCTCTTCTCAAACATACAATTGTACTAAGACTTACTTAGAGGATCAATTGAGATATGGTTCTTAATCATTAAGACCTATCATAAAGCATAAAAGGTACTCTCCCTTCTTCTTAGAATGGAGAAACTTTTATCTTTCTGCCTACTTGACTCTTCTTATTCGTTCTGCTATTGATTTAAACATTTTCAATCAATTCAGAATTACACTTAATCATATTACTAAACCTTTAGTAAATCATGACGAATGTCTTTGTTACTCTTATGGTGACTTTGATCAACACGCAACTTTGTGTACTTGATCTCCTAGTCCTTCACTTGACACTTTGTCAATGAATTAGTCTAATTTCCAAAATATGAAATTTCTCATTCATCGTGCAACCAAGTTGCATGATTCCAAGTTTCTGTCCAATTGAAACTTGGGCGATGAGAAACTCTCCCTATTTGGTAAATTCTTGACTTTCCATAACACAATAAGAAACAAATCCATTATTGCTAATAATTTTAACATCAATTTTTCATACACGCCATTGTAAGGATAAATAAATAAAATTTAAAATCAAAATTTATTTTATTGCGGAAAAATTTGTCCTTACAATGCAACTCATTGAAAAACTTATGCTAATACATCTTTCTTAGCAATCTAATTCTAACTCTAAGTAGTAGCTCAAGAATCTAATCTTCGAGAAACGTGATCGAAATCCATTCCTTCACGGTTAGATTCTGCTCACTTCTTCCCTTAAGCTTCCTTTCTTTTCTTCGATCTTACAAGACATCAATTGTAATCTTATCACATTATGTATTAAGAATCTAGAATAGAAGCTTAAAAGAGTTAGTTAATGGATTTTACCTATATTAGAGCCATACGTTTCGACTCTCCCATCTCTTAGATCTCTTAGGTAAATAGGGCAGCTTCGTCTCCAATGCCCCTTCTCTTGGCAATAAAAGCAAATTGACTCTTTTGGAACAGGACATGGAACTACTTCAGACATCGCCTTTCTCTTATGATCAATCTTTTCAATCATAGCATGTCTTTCATTGCCATTGTCTATATCCATAGAGGTCTCGAAGGCAGATTCACCAATCAACTTTGCTTTTCTATTGCGCCAAACCATTGCTGATTCAGCAGCAATAAGCATATAGGTGAGATCTATAAGGGTCACGTCGCGGTTCATCATATAGTACTCTCTTACGAACTCACTATATGAGTTAGGAAGTGACTGAAGAACCCAATCAACAGCCATTTCCTCACAGACAACGGATCCAACATTCTTAACCTATCAATGTGTGACTTCATCCC